AGTGTAATTTTGGAGCACCGAATACATCAGTTCCACGTAGCACAAGTGGAATGCTGCTGCGCAAATTGTAGTAGCATCTGCTCCAGTGTTCCTCAACACACGTGGTTATTAGCGGCACTTGGGAGTGGAGGAAGAGAATACAGAGAATGGTGCTGGAAGACGAGGATAGCAGTGTGACTTCAGTGCCGAGGCGACTGGTGAATGTCACACTGTGCTTTTGTTCGTTGCAGTTTGTCGACAAGCCGGAGCGTTTCCTGTGCAAATTGTGGATTACTACGAAGGTGATTGTGCTACACATTGTGGTTGACATGCTGAGTTGAGAGGAGAGATGTGTGGTAGTGAGTGAGACAATGAATTGAACTGGAGTTGCTTGTGCCTTGTAGATGACTGGTCAGTTGGAGAGGAAGAAGACACAGGTAGGCGCACAATTGAGATGCTCGGATACATACATTACATAGGTGTGTGTGTGTGTTTGTAGGTGAATGGAAACTGAGTGTGCGAGAAGGGAAGGCGGTGGAGGAAGAGACGGAGTCGAGGTGAATGTGGGTGGGGGTAAGGGTGAGACTGTGAAGGTGAAGGCAAACAATAACCGGGATGAAAATAAGGAGGAGGAGGAGAAGAAGAAGGAGAAGGGGAAGAAGAAGAAGAAGAAGAAGAAGAAGAAGAGGAGGAGGAGGAGGAGCAGGAGGACGAGACGGAGATGATGGTTGAGTTGGAGGAAAAGAAGAATGTAGGTGAGAACAAGAAGAAGAATGGAGAGGGTTCGGAGAATGTGGACGTGGCGAAGGAGGTAAAGGTGGAATTGAAGGCGAGGGCGGAGGTGGAGGCGGAAGCTGAAGAAAGGAAGATGAAGGTGCGAAAAGAGGGCTAGGGTAGTTGAGGTCCATTCAAGCTCGTGTGAAGAGCCACCTCCGTCTATTCCGAATCCGTACTTGTGTTTCAAAGGTGACTGAAGCGTTATGATGGAATTTACATTTAACAACATATTGTGAGGGGCATTCCAAATATGTGTAGCATCGTCTTGCAAGTAGTTTTGCTTTTGAAACAACTCGCCTAGCAGAGACAGCCATCCGCAGGCAATAGAACTGGAGCACCCACGCAAGAAATTCGTCGGCCCCCTATTAATGCAGGGGTTTGCAACGCTAGTGAATTCACAGTGAAGCACGGTGGAGAATAGAGAGGCAGTTAAGGCAAATAATTCCTTCCATGCAGTAAGTAAAACTGGAGAAGACGAAACGAAGCGGCTGGGGGCCGTTGATGATGAACTGGTTGGCGGAAATGACGACAATGCGCAGAAGTGCGAGAAGTATCAGAAAGCATTGAAACGCGTAGTTCAGCATGTCTGGCAGTTGGGCGTGTAAATCACTTCCTCGCATCACCTGACACGTCTGTGAAAATCAATCGGTCGCACGTGTTACGTGGTGTCTCGTGTTGCCGTGTGGTGTCAACTCCGAACAACGTTTCTTGTCGATGGTTTCGTGGAAGTGGAAGGAGAATTTTATCTTTATGGATGGAAATGGAAGAATCCAAATGCTTTCATGTCATTTGTACAGGACTTTTCTTATTTAAATCAGAGTTCTCACCTAATTTGAGGTGGAGCGAATGCCTATGATCAGGATTTACTTCTTATA